TCAATGCTTCCAACTCTGCTTTTTGGGTGTCTGTTAACGCAACTCCACCTGCTGGTTCTGCAATTCCAGATTCAACAACATGCCAATACTCTTTGGACCTCATGAAGTTCTCCATCAACATGCTCCAATGACCACAATGACCATCAAAGCGAGGAATTGCAGGTTGCACAAAATTGTCAGAAGCCATGAAGATTGCTGCTGCAATGAAAATAATTCTTATTTTCTTCTCGCTGGCTCTGATACCACTGATAAGTAGAATGAGGAAGAAAAGCCAATAAAGGACTGAACTTTTATTACTGTGAAATCTGATACAATTACTTGACAAGAAGCTACTCTATTTATAGAGCCAAAAACCAANTTATTACTGTGAAATCTGATACAATTACTTGACAAGAGGCTGCTTTATTTATAGGGCCAAAAACCAGCGGATAAATACTTGAAACTAGGAAGTGCAGCCACTAACTCCTATAGACCAGGTAAAAACCAAAACAAACTAAAACCACTAAAACAAACTCCTGTTGACATGGTCAACTAAGAAATTAGCAAATATTTCCAACAGTCTGATGGTCATTTTTTTGGTTTGGGATACAGGATGAGTTTGCAGACATCAAAATTTCTGAAGTTGATAGACAGAGGTTAAAGATACAGAATTCGACCAAGATGAAACAAGGTATTTGTAATTCTTTGGGTATTATCGAAGAGTTGGAGGAGTTATGTGAGGAATGTAAAGTCGTGGTTCACATTCCACGCTTCATTACTAGAGAAGGGGCTTGGACGTAAATTTACTGTTGATATCTCGTTTCTTAGAGGTTTTCTGGTCTAACTGATAGACTTAAAGGCTTAGTTCATATTGTTTGGACTGAATGAGTGATGTATATTCTTGAGAGGGTTATGATGTTGTATCATCGTGAATACTTGTGAACTTGGTGTTGCTGTGGTTGCAAGACTGTGACTTGTTTCTAGTGCTGAGGTTTGGGCTTTCGCTGAACCCTGCAGACTAAGTCCATTTGAACTGAACTTTGTTACCATTTCTGGTGTTTCGTGTTATGATTTCTGCCGTGCTTGTGCAAATTTAGTGATTTCGTGGTGCTTGGATCCTATACAATCTCATTGTGCAGGCAGTCACGGGCATCTGGAGAGAGGTGGAGGTGCAAGCTCATTAAATTCTGGACAAAACCTTGAAACAAGGCAACAAAAGTTGGGTATAAAGAATGGCAAGGATATCTTTTGAGAGAGAGAGAGAGAGAGAGAGAGAGAGAGAGAGAGAGAGAGAGAGAGGCATTTCGTATAACACTTCCAGGCAATCAGCAAGCATTTCCTCTTTAGGTGATAGTAGAGAAAAGGTAACAATCATCACAACCATTAAACTATGACTTTGAGTGGTAATGACCGCCATAATGTTTGTTGTTTTATTTGATTGTTCCAGAAAGCAGAAAGTTCTAAGAAAAGATTCTCTCGTTTGTCAAAAGAACTAGACATAGACGAAAGGTGGTTTCTACTTCTTGATTATTTGAGCACTTTTGGTCTTAAGGAATCACACTTTATTCAAATGTATGAAAGACATATGCCATCCCTTCAGATAAATGTTGACTCTGTAGAGGAAAGATTAGGATATTTGTTGAGTGTTGGTGTCAAACATAAAGATATCAGAAAAATAATTTTGAGACAGCCTCAAATTTTGGGTTACACCGTAAAAAACAATCTGAAGTCCCATGTTGCCTTTTTGGGAAGCTTGGGCATTCCAGAATCGAGAATAGGGCAAATAATTACTGCCACCCCATCCCTGTTCTCTTACAGTATTGATAATTCTTTAAGACCTACAGTCAGGTACCTTCTTGAGGAGATAGGAATCGAGAAGCATGATCTAAGTAAAGTTGTGCAGTTAGGCCCTCAAATTCTGGTTCAGCGGATAGACAATACATGGACTACTCGTTTCAATTTTCTGACAAAAGAGTTGGGAGCACCCAGAGAGAGTATAGTAAAGATGGTCACGAAACACCCTCAAATACTTCACTACAGCATTGAAGACGGATTACGCCCCAGGATCAATTTCTTGAGAAGTATTGGGATGTGCAACTCTGAAATACTGAAAGTGTTAACTAGCCTTACACAGGTCAGCTGGATTCTCTTGTGCAATTGATTTTGTACCTCAAACTACAATTGGGTTCTCAACCAACTTGTCCTCAAAATTGATTCCATACTTCTACCTTTTCATGTAGATCTTGTTTCGCTTGACGTCACAATTAAATAGAATTCTCAGATGATGTCATCTGTACATGCATGTATTCTCTCTATCACTAGAGGGAAATCTGAAACCCAAATACATGTACTTGATCAATGAACTTAGAAATGAGGTCCATTCCCTGACCAAATATCCAACATACATAAGCTTGTCTCTCGACCAGCGAATTCGACCCCGCCATAGGTTTTTGGTTTCCTTGAAGAAAGCTCCGAAGGGACCATTCCCTTTGAGTTCACTGGTTCCAACTGATGAAAGCTTTTGCCACCAGTGGGCAGGAACTAGCTTAGACAAATATCTGGATTTTCGGGAGAGATTGCTTCTCAAAGAGTTTGCAAAGAAGTACGAAAGGCAATGATTAGTTCCATTCTCATTCCTAGTATACTTGGTAGTACAAACAGCCTAATCGTGCATCGTACACATTACAGCAAATTGAGATACTCTTTTCCTGGAAGCACATTAAGGCGAGTCAGATGTTCATGACACATATATTTATATTGAAGAAACATGTCTAATATTACTCAATCTCTGTTTTATATCTGTGCAGGTCCAGGTTATATCTAGATTTTGCTATACAATTTTGCAAGGTGTAGTAGAGTACTTTTACTAACTTCTGTTGATTCTAACAATCTAACGTCATCACTGGAACCCATCATATCAAGGTTAGGTTTAATTCGATTCTCAGAAACATGAACTATCACAGTGTAAGCATTCACGCAGGACAACATGCACATGAAACATGGAGGACAATACATCTTCATTTGAATACATCATATTATTATTATTATTATTATTATTATTATTATTATTATTATTATTATTATGGGTCTAATTATCTGGTCAACTAAAATAGTTGAACTGAATTCTAGAAGTATGAATTGCACAATCATTCTTATCATCTACCTTGCTTTTATTTTTAAACCCAAATTCTAATGTTTCCCTCTTCTGGGACAGGTTTGTTATTTGATTGCAACTCGTTAAGAGAAAAGATATGCAATAGCTAGTCTTGGCGGCCGCTGATTTCTTGCTGAAGGATTCCATTGTGCTTGATTTTTTGACACTTCCCCATCTTTCGTACTTCTTATTACGAACAACGGGTATGCTTTCCCTGTTGCGCTACCTTCATAACTACCAACTTGTAATTTGATTGCAGTAAGAATATACCAGTGATTATTATTTGCAATTTCCTTTTGAATAGGTAGTGGTAATTCCTCTATTTTCCCCCAATAAAGGCATGATTAACTATTTCATAAAAATCATTATTTTCTACTGAAGCTACCCTCTTGT